CACTAAGGATGCACCGCCCGTTGCCGATGATGAGGCAGAAGCCTTGCTAAGGGCATTCGAAGCAGAGAGTGTAATCTCTACAGATAGCGAGGCTGAGTTCGAGGAGCTCGACACCGAAGGGGTTCCAGAGACCCCGGCAGTGCAGCGTGTCAAGGATGCTTCGGCCGCGGAGCTGGAGCGTTGGCGGAACCATGTGCAGAATGGTCACGTACCGTTCCGTCGAGATTGCAAGCAGTGTGTTGAAGGGGCGGCTGTGGGGATTCAACATAGACGTGTGCGACACCCGCAGAGTTATACGCTCTCCGCGGACCTATTTGGTCCAGTTCCTCTTGCTGAGCATGGCCGAGATGAGACATGTGTGTCAGGCAAGTGCAGCTTGAAGTACGCCCTAGTGGGTGCATTCCGTGTCCCGAGGTCAGCAGTTGAAGGGTGCACCGCATCGCATGGAGTAGAGGACTTAGAGCTTGGTGGGGATCTAGGTGGTCTAGAGGACTTAGGCTCGGACTATGCACCGTCTGAACCCCCCCAAGACCCACCAATTTCGGCCCCTTTGAGTGCCGACCAGGAGGAGCTCCTAAGGGAACTCTTTGACTCACCACTCCCTGGAGCAGTAGGTGAGAGCTTAGTGCCTCAGGTTGATGCGGTTGATAGCGATGGACCGCCTCCAAAGGGGTCACTGCTTGCGGAGAGTGATGCCCCGCAGGACCCAGAAGGCCTTAAGGCTTTGATCCAGGAGCTTAAGGAGCCCGTGGAGCAGGTTGTTTTGCGCTACGTAGTCCCACTGAAGGGGAAGACAGGCCCAGAGGTTACTGAAGGATTACAGAAGTTGATTTTGGGAATAAACTCGAGGTTTCCAGTACGGATTTTGCATACAGATTTGGGCACTGAGTTCCTTTCATCCAGCCTCTCTAAGTGGCTAGCCGATCAAGGGATTCGGTTTCAACATACGCTGCCCACTGACAAGAAGGCGAATGGGTTAGCTGAGAGAACGGTAGGATGGGTGAAGGCCAGGCTTCGGACGCTGATCTGTTCTTCAGGATTGCCTGTTCACTGGTGGCCGTTGGCAGCAAGGTGGGCTGTTAACTCACATAATAGGAGAATATTGGGTCAGGACCCACTCCCTGCTTTTGGCCAGACTGTGTTACACAGAGTCAAGCAGCCCCAGGACGGATCCCGCCAACTGATGAACCGTTGGGTTGAGACCCGGTACGGGGCGCCTCATACGACGATACCTGAGGGACATGTTTTGATCACCAGCGCGGGAAATTTGGTTGCTTCAAAGGGGTTCAGGGCTAAGTTTGTGGATCCGAATGAGCTGGAAGGAGCCGGTCTTCCTGCCTTGCACAGCCCTGAGGAGTGCGAGAATCAGGAGGAGCAGGGCCCTGGGTTTGAGGATGGGGTAGTGGGTGATGCTGCCTCAGCCTTGACGCCTGAGCGTCGCCTTAGAATGAAAACCGCCGTACGATTTGTAGAGTGTGAACCGGAGTCGGACCCAGAGTCCTACGCGCACCACTGTATTCTCCATGGGAACTATTCCCGTGAAGCGCTCAGCCACTTATTAAATAAGCTGCCGGAGAAATGGCTTAGCTCTAAGGACCGCCGAGGCCAGGTTGAGGACAAGCTTGTGTTGGGAGCATATTGCCATGGTGGCAAGAGAGGGCTAACTAAATCCATAGCCGCCTTACCCCTCACAACTAAGGTGTTGAACCGGTCCCTATACCTCATGCTACGCCAAGGGGACAAGGTTGATGAACCAACGTGGACAGCTTTGATGGTTGCAAAGGCAGGCGATATAGGCATCCACCGTGATTTTAGAAATGAGTGGGGTTCCCTAAACCACGCAGTGTGTGTGCCGGGAGACCTTGAGTTATGGAGGGCTTCCGAAGGAGAAGGTGGCACCGAGTCCACGCAGCCTGATTGGTTGAGTGAGCGGGTTGAGAGCCTGAAGAGTGGAGTGGTGACCTTTGATGCACGAAGGCCTCACGCAGTCCGCAGGAGTCCGGATTGGGTTTTGGTAGGATATACCCCGTTAGGATCCGCTAAGCTGTCTCAAGAAGATTGGTGTGATTTGAAGCGCCTGGACTTCGTTACCCCGACTAAGGACCCAATGATGCCTCAGGTCAAGGTAGTTTCGACAGGATCCGGGGATCCAGCCCCGACGGAAGGAGCAGCCGCAGGCCATGAAGAGGGAGAGCAACCAGAGGGTGTGCTTCAAGACGATGTGCAGCCAGACTCGATTACCCAGCTGGTTGGATGGGACTTTAGTAACGGGGATCCTGGAGAGTTTCCTAGGCCGGACCTTCAGCAGGTGGATATGTATAACTTCCTTCGTGAAAGGTTTGCTGAGCATGAATGGAAGCGATTGACATTTCTAGGAGTCCAGACTCCAGAGGATTTACCATATCTCTTTGAAGAAGATTTAATCGAGCTCGGCATCTCCCCGTTGACAGCCTCTAGGATAATGCACGGCATTCACCCACCCGGTACGAGGAGGCCTGACTGTCCTTCCTTGTCGAGTCTTAGGACTGGTGAAGTTAGACTGTATGATAGGTCGCAGCGTCAGATCCCGTGGATTATCCAGAACCGCACCCTTAGGCAAGGGAACCCCGACCCTCCTATAGACGGGTTGGGAGTAAGGGTTCCAGGTGTCGAGGAGGAGCACGTTGCCCGACATGTCGATCCGTTAAGGGTTCCAGAGGAGACAACGCAAGCAGACCCAACGGATTCACTCACTCCACAGGTGCCGCAGAGTGCTGCCTCG